TCCTGCAGGCTTTATGATGTATGCATATTTTACAGCAGTTTTTCAGTCTAACAAGACTAACTAGAAATGTTTGCCATTTCAAAGACTTATTCTCACAAGTACCTGATGCATGTAAGGTAGAAGGCAAGTCTCATGAACCAGGTGCCTCCTGTTCTCAGAAACACTCTGCTCCATGATTACTGTTCTCTTTGTTTCCTTAAAAAAAATGTAATTTGTCTTTTCTCTTGTCAATCTCATCTGTGAATTTGAAACTAAATGAGGCATCATTCTGTATGGCATCACTTCACTGATGGAGAATTAAGCATATAAAAAATGTCAGACTTTCCCTCTGCAGAAGCTCAATTTTGCCCAAAAAACGCTGTGGGTATATAATACATGTGCACTTCTGCACAATCTTATTTGAGAGACGCATTGGTAGGGTATACACTAGTATAAGTGACAAAAGATTCAGCAATGTCAAGTCCTGTAAACAAACCACTCCAGGGAAGTAACATTAACACATAATTGTATGTTTTTACCATGTCAGACCTGTCACAAAAATAACTTGAATTGTGATTATAGTAATTAATTTTTCCTCTGCCATTTGAAACATGCAAACTTATTATGGCAATGAGGATGATAGATTCTGGCCTGCCATTTTAGCGCATCATATATTTACATTTCCATGTGAAGAATTATTACCAAAAGATGTTAACAGGATGAGATCTACACATAAACATATCTTTAGGTATACCCACTGTCTTTACATTAAGACCTGAAGGCCCTGAGAAAAAAAAAAAAAAAGGGGGTAAGACGAGGCAAAAAAGATAAAGCAAAACAGAGATTTTGTCCCCAAAATCAGGCAGGTCTAGAAATCAGAATGCTGGAAACCTGGTTTGTGGGGTATTGAAAAGAAAGAATAAAATGTCATTTTTCTGTCTGCTGTTGCAGTCCCCAAAATTCTGTTAATCTGGCCATCTTTGTTTCATGATTGCTGTATTAACAGTGTGTCCAGGATGAGTGGGCGGCTGAACTTCCAGCTCTGTGGCATTCCTTCTGTTTCAAAGCGGAAATTTCTATGTCTTGACATATAACTTAAAGAAAAAAAAGGAGGGGGGGGGGGGGGGGGGGGGGGAAGAGAAAAGAAGGGAAGAAGGAAGGGTACAGATTCAGCTGGTAGGACACTATGATAGTACAGTTACCAAAGGCACCTATATATGTGTGTATACTGCGTAGGTTTTATAAATAAGCCTGAGGGGCTCCTTCTTCGCTGCCACCCCCTTCCCCAAGTCTCGCGCTCTGCCTGCCTGATCCCATCCGACAGTAGAGCTGATACCACACTAATCCCTGCAAGTTTGGGACTAATGAACTAACTGCTGGGCTGCCGCCACGGAGCTTGGTCCCAAACTATACTGTACTTCACACTCGATTTATTCTCCAGATGGCGAGACTGCGCGGCCCCGCCGCAAGGGACCACCTCTTCCACTGGAGTGTAAAAGTGGACGGATGTTGTTTTCTTTGCAGATTTGATAATTCAGAGCTAGGAACTCGTGAGAATGGTTAGTTATTAGGTTTAATGGGTGCCAATCGAGCCGGCAACACGCGTATTCCCGTCTTTAATTTCAGTGTCTGGGTGTCTGGGTGGCGGTGGATTTGTCAGCGATGCTGCGTCACTGAAACCTTTCTCTCTCCAGTTGGCGTAGCTGCCTGTGGTAATGAACATCTTCCCCCGTCCTCCTCAGAGTCAAACAGACTGGATGCTAAAGTAGCCACCCTGACCAGCGATTTTTTTCCCCCGTGGGTTTTCCAGCATGGGTTGCAAGCTTAGCATATTTTCATAATATCACTATTTACCAAGAAACTCTCTGTTGTCTTTCTCTCTTCTTCAGTTTGATAAAGAACCCAACCCACATGGGACCCAATGGGGATACCACCATCCCAAGCTACCTGGGGGTGGAATCATTTACTTAATGATCAGGTTTATTTCTTTATCAGCTATTCATTCATGACGGAGTATTATCTGATGCTGTAGTTCTCGTGGGAAGAAGAATCATTTCTTTCATCATTGCTTAAAAATCCTAGTTTGACCGTTCTTGGTAGGAATTCTACATAGTATTTGGAAAATGTGTTTATTCTTGCCTCTACTACTATAAAGGCATTATTGTATCAAGGAGTACTTTTTTCTCTACTGTTACAATGTTGACATAGTTTACCTAGCTTAAAATTTTAGCTTTTGTGTGGATCCTACAATAAGAATAGCATCTACATTTCCCCACATAATGAGGCGGAGAGGGCTCTCCCTTTCCTCCATGTTTTTAGTACGTTTAGTCAGAGGTTTTAGTACATTTTTTTATTTACCCATGAAATGTTTTATTGGAAGCCTGGCTGGGGACCTGATACACCCCACTAACATCAATGGGATTTTCTCCGTGGTAGGAAGGGTAGGCACGGAGTCAGCCCCCTCACGAACTCTGACTTTGGCAGCCAGGTCCTCTCAGTTTGTCCCACAATTAAAAACATAAATTGAATCCTGATGTGGAAACTATAGCGACTACAAGTATTTTATCATGGAAGGGAAACATTTCCATTCCCGGGGTATCTAGGCAGACAGATCTAAAACATAGTTGTTCTAAGAAAATGCATCAATTCTCAACCCAACAGATGGCATGGGTGTGTTAACTAACATAGCAACATATTTTCTATTAAAATATGGGAAAAAACAACAACCCCCTCCCCATGTTTGTTGGTTGGTATAAATTCAGTGAAGTTGTTGGTTATTTTTGGGATACGTACCAGAGGGCTGCACATTTAGTTTATGTAAATTGATAACAGCAACAGCCTGTTAATAAGTGTTTTGTATGGAAATATACCTAGAAAGACACACGATCTGTCTTTTTTGGGAAGGGAGTTTGCAGCCTGAGGAGAAAAATAGCTAATGAGACGGTCTACTGCTCATTATTATAATCTGAAAAAAAATCATGACGAATTAGGCTGTAAGTTTGCTAGAGATGTGCCTTCAGTTGGAATTGGATGCTGCTTTAGTGGATAATTTGGGGAGATCTTTCTTTTGCAAATTGGATCAGTGTGTGCTGAAACGGTGATAATCTGACTTTAATTAAAAGCATAAATTGGTTTGGAGCGTGTTTTTAAGCTGCCCTTCTGCATCATATCCAGAAACTTTCAGCCCAGCCCTAGAAACCCATTACCCCTGGTCGGAGAAGGAAAACATGGGGGATTTGTATTACCCGGTAATGGCATCATATGGTTCGGTTTACCTAATTCGGAAGAACCATTTCAGACGGCTGTGCGCCGGAGCTGTCTTCCAGCTGGACGTGTTTGTAGTAAACTGCGTGCATCTTTGTGTGGCTTTCCTAATGGCCCCAGCCAGAGTCCACTCACAGCAGTTTGAACGTTTCGGGGTTGTATTTTCCAGAGATTACCTCTGAACGTGCCCCTTGATCGCAGCACAGGGATGCGTACATGTGCGCCTCATTCCCGTCTGGCCGATTAACGGGCATATGCTCCCAACCTTCGGAGAAGCACGGCTAGTAGCCCCAAGCTGAAGGCTGTTTGCTTCAGATTTCATTAACTTTCTGCTTCATTATTCCTTCCTTTTAAGCAGTTAGAGCCATCACTTGCTTTCCTCTAAACTTACCCTAATTATCGGGGGTCCCAGCCCTGTAAATCAGTACACTGCAGAGCTGTCTTAAACCAGCCTGGGAGACCCTGTTCTGATCGGACCTGACAACTGTAAGCTACTGTTCCCTCACACTGTTTAACTCAGACCACATTGGGAAACCGCCTCTGCCCCTCTCGCCGGCAGAGATTTGCATCCGTCTGGTTTAAATCTACTGTCATGTGCTGTCTCGCTGATTGGTATTAACCTGGATATTAACTTTGATGAGTTCTTTTTTCCCCCTGAGTTTGCCTGTTTTCTTGAAAAGCATCTCTATTCAGCGACTGCATATTGTTAAAGTCATTCCTGAACCTTCGTGAGTCAGGAGCTTTAAAGTTTTATTAGCCCCATAAAAACTCTTCACAAATGAAATGACTTTTGATAAGTGTGCGTTTTGACAATGCGAATTTGTTAGGGGCTGTTGGCGGGGGGGAGGAATTTGGGG